GTTTCAGCTTTCCCGAGTTAGGAGTTTTCTCACCAAAATTTTCACTCTCCCGTACGTAAGCCCCGACATTGCTTTAAGCAGCTGAATCTGAAATCTTTTGGTCGTACATGAATAGGGGACATTCCCTGAAGTTTCAACTTTCTAGCTTTCCTCGTTCTCGAGTAAACAATTTTCCTGCCAAAAGTTTCATATGTCTGCTGGTGAGATGTAGACGTACGTGACAGCTGATATCACATTGCCGGAAAGAATCAAAGCACGCCAATATGAGCCAAATGTTAAGCTAAAGCGTAAGGATCATTCCTGCTAATAGCGTTCTGCGAGTTTAGTGCAAAAACGAATGATCGCACCGGAAAGCCTAATGCGTCCCAGCCTCGGTTGCAATTTGCATATATGCGAATACGCATGTTGGGAAGAGGCTGTCTGTGTGTGTCTGTGTGTTCACACTTTTTGTCGCCCACTTTCAACTCGAGAGTCAAAAAAGCTAGAAGGCTGAATTTTTGGGAGTATGTGCTCATGCCATGCATAACCCTCTCCCGTTCTAATTTCACCCCCGCGGACGCCTAGGTGCCGCGTACGGACGATTTAAAAAAACATGCAAATTTTTTGGTGGAAAAGCTATATCGGGAACCACACGAGCTAAGAGGCCGAAACTTTGTAGGGTTATTCCCTGTGCATGTACTACATAAAGACTTCAAATTCAGCCCGCGAGTATGCGTGGTACTCACATGAGGGCGTATGAAAGTTTTAGCGGGAAAATTGTTAACTCGGGTACTAGGAAAGCTAGAAAGTTGAAATTTTGGGACAACGTTCACTATCCAAGTGCAACTCAAATAGTTCATATTCAGCCCCAAGCTACGCGTAGTACTCACGTAAGGGCGTATGAAAGTTTCTGCAAGAAAATTACTAACTCAGGAACCAGAACCTCACTTTGCTTTCTTTCCTTTACCTCACTTTTTTTCCTTTACCACACTTTGCCTTTTTTACCAAAACTTTTACCTATTCCAAAAGATCTGGTGTTTTTTAATTAGAAATAAATACCCCTTTTCCAGTCTGAATTTTCCCGCTGCACCCTTGCTAGTATTTTCTGTTCGATTTTTGCTCATTCGAACTTCATCCTTTAGAAAGATACCCGTTCTGGGCAAACATCAGCGGGCTATCACGTGTGGAGCTTTTTCAAATAACGATTTACTGGCACTTGGAGCGGAGGATGCCTCAATTACAGTTAGCAGTACTGATGGTGATTCGGTATTCTCATTCACATGCAATTCGGATCCATCGATGATAAAATTTTATGATTTCAAACAGAGCAGCGAGAAGAATGCCAAGTCTGATGTCATGGTAATGCTTTTTTGCCTAATAACGGAATGCTATTCATAATGCTAATAATGTTAAAGCCAGGATTATGTTTCATATTGTCGCAGATAGCTTTTTAATTAGCTGCAACAATATGCTAGCATGGACTTTTTCCTGAACTCGAGTGAAAAACTAGAGGATGAATTGTGGGCATTTGTATGCTGTAGCGGGGATGCCAAATCAGAGCGAATTACTGGGTGAGAGGCAACGGCTTATTCAGCTGTAACCGCTAGTAGTGGCTTTTCTTTTTGCGGCTTTCGTGATTTTGGCGAGTTTGATCGGTGCAAGGGTTGAATGAATACAGCCCTGAAAATCCTTGAATTCACAAAGTAACTGGGTAGAAAGAACAGTTCAACATTTTTTACCGGTTCAGAATCTGTGGGGAGTTCGGAGACAACTAAGCGCAAAAAAATACAGAGCTTTTGAGAAATACTAAAACTAAATGAACGAAATGAACTGATCAAACTAGATTGAATTAATTCTCAATTTGTATTTTCTTTTTCTCTCGTCTTTAGACAAACACTAAGAGGAGAAACCTACGAGCGGAGGGTCCCCTATTTTCCATAAAAAATGATATTAGCAGTGAATCATCGGCGGATGTTGCAGCTAAGCGCTGTGTTGGGCAAAAAAATCTTGATGCTTGTGAACTTGAGCGATTCCGAGAATCCGATCAATTTGCAGTTTCAAGTTCGCTACGGCAATATCGCTACGTATTGCTGGTAAGCTTACCGCATCTTATATAAATATTGCCCCAATAATTATTCCCCAAAACAGTGTCTTATACAGCTGTGACAGTTGGTCCAAACGCTCCTTCCGTTGCTTTAGCGCATAAGCTGTGGATATGAAACATGTTAGGTGCGCTATGTGCCAGTTGACTTATAAATTAAGCAGCCTTCCACATACTTGTTTACGCGATTAGAGGGCAAACACCATTATTCGGTATCTAATTTGAACATTTAGGTTTGGTGATGGTTTTTTGCTGTTAGGCTTCGATAAAGGTTTTTTGGTATGTATTTCGGTGAACGATTCGGAGATTGGCCAGGTTTATTTCTCGTCACTTAATTTCTGTATCTATAAATAAAGTGCTTAGTGGAAAGTTGAATATGCAGTTGACCTACACAGGAAAAGGATCACTTTTGATATTTTTTTTTTTATTTTTTTTCAATGTTGATAAAGCACCTCAATTGCCCACTCGAGAAAAAATGTTAAAATTCCAGTCAAAGAGATGAAAAAATTATACAGGGAGTAAATAAGTTTAACATGCCAACTATGGTGTATAATTTTGATGGAGTGACCGTAAACTTAGTCAGGAAACATAAGATTTGAGTAAATCCAGGCTGAAACGCACGAGACTGGCCACTTTCCGTGTCGTAGCAAGATCGCAAGGAATTACAGTAGTTAACTCTGTGGTATACTGGCCCTCGAAGTTCGGGAAGTTAATTGTGCAGCTATGTGATGTGTCAGCTGTGGGTGTCGACTTCAGTGACCCGACAAATGTAAAGTTGCTGGTCGGCGAAGAAAGCCTCACTAGAAGAGTTAAATTTGAAATCTTTTAGTCGCACATGAGTAGGGCACATTCCCTTAAAACCGAGGCCTTCAACTTTTCCCGTTCCCGAGTTAGCAGTTTTCCCATCGAAATCTTTACGTGTCCGTACGTGAGTGCCGGACGGTTTTAAGGGGCTGAATTTGAAATCTTTTGGTCACACATGAGTAGGGAACATTCCCGTAAAATTTTAGCTTTCTAGCTTTTCTCGTTCCCGGGTTAGTGACTTTCACGTCAAAACTTCCACGTGACCGTATTTGGCCCCGAGTGCTTTTAAACACCTGATTTTGATTGTACATAGGTAGGAGACACTTCCTGAAAGTTTCAGCTTTCTAGCTTTTCCCGCTCCCAGGTTAGTAATTTCCGCGCCAAAACTTTTACATGTAGCATATGTGGATCTCGGGCGTCTCCAAACAACTGATTTTGGTTGTACATGAGTAGGAAACATTCCGTAACATTTCAGCTTTCTACCTCTGTTGCTTCAGGTTAGTAATTTTCGTGCCAAAATTTCCACGCGCTCTACATAGGTCCGAGCACTTCTAAAAACCTAATTTTGCTCGTACAAGAATAGGGAACATTGCCATAAAGTTTCAGCTTTCTAGGTTCCCGGGTTGGTAATTTTCGCGCCAAAATTTTCACGCGGCATAGTCTGGCACATTAAATAACTTCGTCAGGAAGAGATGAACACGAAATTATAACAAAACAGAAATTGATACGAATGTTTTGATTTACCAAGTCACCTACGTAATGCTCCAACATCATAACGTTTCTTCCTCTCCGACCTCGCTTCCTTACCCGTACTTGACCCCGGGCGGTCTTAAGGAGCTGAGTTTGAAATCTTTTAATCGTGCGCGAGTGGGGAACATTCCCCCAAAGTTTCAACTTTCTAGCTTTTCTCGTTCCCGAGTTAGCAATTCTCTCGACAAAACTTTCACTTGCTCGTAAGCGCGGCCCAGGCGTGCGTGAGAGTTGGAACCGCGGCCCTGGAATGGCACTTGGCTGAGAAACACACTAGCAAAATTTCCACTTCAAAGCTTGCGTGGTTGGCGGATTGAAATGCCCGGACAGACGAACACACACACAAAAATATATATACACACACAGGCTGACAGGGTCGTTGAAATATGCGTTTTTTCTGCCATATGCGTTTTTTCTGCCTGCACGGCAAATACGCATAAAAAGTGCTGCTTAAAAACACCGAATTAGGCAAAGTAGCCGCGAAAAGGCCTTAAAAGCGCCAGATTTAGCACAGTAATCCTAAAATGCATCGTATTAAAAAACTGAGCTAAAAATAAAAAGGATTCGTCAAGTTAGTGTGGAAAAAAACAATATGAAGTACGTTTGAAGATCACTATATCTTAATATTATATCAGTATAACTTAATATCATGTCATTATATTTTAAAAATCGTTTTATCTTATTCAGCTCGCAGAATGCGGATTACAGTTCATCTCTTCTATTTGCAGGAAATCTATTCGGTGCAGGATTTCAAGTCATACCTTTCTTCTCTATGCGTCAGTGAAGCATATTCAAAAGTACTACTAACAGGCGATAGTCAGTAAGCTCTGTTTGAACTGCACTTTCTCATGGTCTCAGCAAAAAAGTTTTACTGCCCTTGCACGGAACTGAGTTCAGCCGTCACCAATACAACGAGCCAGGGCAGCATCTGCTGGTACACATCAAACGTATTTTATAGTTCTGAATTAAGAATTTTCTTACCTAAATTGCTTTTGAAAAAGTGAAGGATAAAATGTTTGCTGATATACCTGTTCTAGGAGAAAAATTGTTAACCCACCAGCTGGGCCGGTGTGATCGTACATTTTTGCTCTATTTCATGCTATAGAAAGATCGCAAGGAATCACAGCAGCTAAAATTTGTGACATACTGGCCCCCGAAGTTCAGGAAATTAATTGTGCAGCTGTGTTGCATGCCATTTGCCGTCTTTAGTGATCCGACAAGCAGAAATTTGCTGGTGCGCAAAAAAGGCCCTGCTAGAAGAGTTGAATTTGAAGTTTTTATTCGCACGTGAGTTGGGAACATTCCTTTAAAATTCCAGCCTTCCAGCTTTTCTCGATCCCCAGTTAGCAGTTTTCTTGCTAAAACTTTTACATACCCGTAGGTGAGCCAAGGGCAGTTCTAAGGAGCTGAATTTGAAGTCTTTTGGTGGTACGTAAGGAACATTACCCTGGATATCAGCTTTCTAGCCTTTCTCGTCCTCGAATTAGCGATTTATTCGCTAAAACTTTCACATACCCGTACGTGGAACGTGGACGTGTGTAACAGTGACAACTGATATTACGTTCCTAGGGTTGCATTTGGCCAGAGAACACACTGGCAAAATTTCAGCATCAAAGGTTGCGTGATTGGCGACCAGAAATACCCGGGCAGACACACACACATACACACACAAACATATCACGCATGCGCAAACAGACAGGGTCATTGAAATGGGTTTTTGCTGCCTGTTGCAGTGCTCAAGAACTGCACGGGAAAAACGCGTAAAAATGTCCATTTCTTCGATAATTTTAACCAATCAATTTATGTCAGACCCTTCACAATGGAGATACTAATCATTATATACATAAAAATACAAAATCAGATCAAACCCAGGCTGGAACACACCAGGCTCTCTTGTGCAATCATGCGTTCTTGCACTAAGCTCGCAGATCGCTATTAGCAGGAATGATCCCTATGCTGTAGCCTAATGTTTAAGCTCAAATTGGCGGTGCTTTGATCCTTTCCGGCATTCAGGAAAAAGGGTGTCAGTTGGGATGAAGGTGGTGCATTATAGAGCCGCACCGACATCCAGGTGCATGATTGCCGGTTTTTTGTATGAAGTTCGGTCGTTTTTTCGGTAGATGCTCGTTTTATGAAAAAAAGAAAAACCCAAACTTTTTGAAAAAATGCAAATTTCCAGCTTACCAAAAAGTGGAAGTGTTGCTTGAGCGGTCGCTTGTCAAAAAAACCGTGTATGCAAATTAACTAATATTCATTTACATATACGATTGGGGTTCGGGTCCAGGTTGTGGTCGATTTCTTAACGATTTTTGGGTTGAGGAGCTGCTTGAGGCTGTGGTAGGGGTGCTCGACAGCTGAGTTTAAAATCTTTAGGTTGCACACGCATAGATAATATCCATGCAAAGTTTCAGCCTTCTATCTTGCCTGGTTCGCGAAATAGTTT